CCTAAACCCTTAAACCCTAAGTCCTACGTCGTGAAGCCACAGGCCCTAAACCGTGGAGTGCCAAGGCTCCTCAGCCCTGACCCCTGACTTCCGCTAAGGGACTATGAAAAGGCCCCAATGAAGAGATCTGAACAGAACCCTAAACCCTAAACCCTAAACCCTAAACCCTAAACCCTAAACCCTAAACCCTAAACCCCAAACCCTACCTGGTATGAGCCGTTGACCCCGTGATCCTTACACACCTACTTTATACCCTCTATGTACCCCTAAAGGTTCCCTAGAAAGGCCTAAGGGTCCATATTAGGGGCCCCGACTTGTAGCTTACGACAGCTCGGTATAGTAATACCCCATAGAGGGCTTACAGAACATATTCGGTTTCTATTATAATGCCCCAAGTGGGGATTTCAGAAAATAGGGGACCGTAATAGAGTACCCTAAATAGTAGGATCTTTATTATAAGGACCCCCAAATAAGGTACCCCTTATTTTCGGAAATTCCCAAATCCTCTTCCTGCGACTTAGTGGCGCCATCTTATGCAAAGCTTCGCCGGTAGCTCCTGCAAGCCAAGCCCGAAATGCGAAACCCTGACCCTGAACGTAAACCATGGAACCAACTCCCTAAACCCTTTGAGGGTTCAGGGTTCAGAGTTTGGGGAACCCTGAACCCAGCCAGGGCATAAAAGGCTTCGACCAAACAGCCCTAATACTGCCTTCAACTTCTCAAGCATCATAAACCCTGATTTTGTCGTGTCACATTCGTCAGTTAGACTGTGAAGCTAAACAAGAGTTGTCTAATCTCCGAGACTCCCATACAGGAACCCTATATAGTCCTCATTAAGTGGTAAACCCTGAACTATAACTTTAAACTTTAAACCTCAAATCCTAAACCTCTAAACCCCAAACCCTAAAGTCTAAACCTTAAACCCAACTCCAAAAGTTCCCACCCGCGCAAGATTTTGAGAATTCAGGCGGCCACTCCGGGATCGGCTCCTGGAACTTCGTGATGCATCCGATCTATGCGGGCAAGAAGGCAACAGTTGGGCCTTTAGGCTATGGGGTATCAGTTTAAGGCAGGATTTGGGCTTTGAGGCTATGGGGTATCGGGGGGCTTTAAGGCAAGATTTGGGCCTTTAGGCTATGGGGTTTCAGGGCTATAGGGGTTTCGGGTCGAGGATCAAGGGCTGGGTTTAGGGTGTAGGGTTTAGGGTTTAGGGTTTAGGGTTTAGGGTCTAGTTAGCATCCGCCAGATCCACAAGCCCTTAAAACGAGAAGCCATACTCTGTGGCCTACCACTCGCTTCCTCAAAATGGGAGCTGCAGGAAGCAACGGACCTGAATGAAGGGTTTTTATAGTGCCCCTAAACCCTACACCCTAAACTGTTAAGGAGTTTCAGGGTGGCTAGGGCTTCAGTCAAGGCTCGTCCATGAAGGCATCGGAGAGGATACCTTGAGCAAATGTTGTTTAGGGTGTAGGGTGTAACCCGGTACTGTAAGTTGAACGGAGGCTTGAACATCTTAGGAAGTCGCTTATATCACTAAGACCTAAACCCTACACCCCAAGCCCTAAACCCTAAACCCTAAACCCTAAACATATCCCTACCACTTAGAATAGTTGGAACCCGACTCACTACGGCAGGGGTTGCACCCAACCTGTCTCGAACCGTAACAAAAGCCCCCTAAACTCTGCATTATATGCTTTATACCAGCCTTGGCTATAATCATGGTGTTCATTTATGGCGTCATTGTCTATTTTGCTGTAGTATGGACCTGGTCAGGTGGATCCGGAAGGGAACTATGTCCGTCGTTGGCTGCCAGAGCTTCGAAACCTGCCCACGGAGTACATCCACTGTCCTTGGGATGCTCAGAACGCATTGATTTTCAGGGTTCAGGTTTCAGGTTTCAAGGGTTTAGGTTTGAGGGCTTAGGGCTTACGGTTCAGATCAGGTTTTGAGGTTTAGGGTGTAGGGTTTGGAATTTCAGGTCCTGGCTTATAGGGTGGTTTCTGTGGCAGGCGTGGCTTCAGGGCTACCAAACCCCTCCACTGAGGACTACTGCTTTCTGTAGCTTCTACGAAAACTTCATACCCGAACCCCCTAAACCCTAAACCCAAAAACCTTCAACCCCGAAAAAGGAAACCCAAAGCCAGAGACATCGCAGTTTTGTTCTGGTGGGATGTAGGGTGTAGGTAGCATGGATGGTTGCCTTAAGCCCTAAACCCTTTCTAGTTCGTACATAGCCCTACCAGGCCTGAATTCTTAAGTGAGATGCTGGACTAGATTATCCACAGCTCTTGAACATTGCAAATCCTGAACCCGGAACCTATACACCCGTAGCAAAGTAACCCGGATAGTTGCAGCTACAGTTGCCCTCAGAAAAAGGGTTTTTGACAGGAGGCACCAACGGGCACCCGGATTTCCGCCCAAGTGCTCATCAACGGCGTGTACTGGCAGCGCGTCATCGAAGAAACTCTCTGGCAGCTAAAACCTAAACCCTTAACCCCAGGCCCTGACCGTCAACCGCCTGACCCTAAACCCTAAACCCTAAATCTTAAACCCTAAACCCTAAACCCTACCTAAACCGTTAAGGCCCCTAAAGCCGTGGCTCCTCAAACCTTCAGCCCTTCAGCTCGGAAGCCCTATGCCGTGAGACACACGAGGCCCAGAGAACCCCCCCCACAGTGGCCCATCAGCAGTTCTCAAACCCTAAGGGCCCTAAGTAAGTAGCTTATGTAGTAGAATGTAGGGTTTCTATGGTAGGAATTACGATTATGATGTGGGAAAGTATCCCCCATAACAGTACCCGGAATGGGGTTTTGGGAGAGAGTACCCTAAACCCTAAACCCTTAACCCTTAAACCTTAAACCGTCAACCCTAAACCCTTAAACCCGAAACCCTAAACCCTAAACCCCTGACCCTTAACCCTTAAACCCTTAAACCCTCAACCCTAAACCATAAACCCTAAACCCTAAATATAGGGGTATCATGCAGGGGTTATGAGAGGATGCTAATCGGGAGCAAGGATCCTCGAAGTCGTTTTTTTATGCCGCTGTTAGGGTTTAGGGTTTAGGGTTTAGGGTTCAGGGTTTAGGGTTTAGGGTTTAGGGTTTAGGGATCCTTACCCATTATAATATAATGATTCAGACCCCCCATTTTGTATTAGGTTTAGGGCTTGGGATTCTGGCTTTGGAGATACGGTTGATGATACAAATCCTGCATTGCACAGAATAAGGAATATACCATAATTTTCAGAGTTTAGGGTCCTTAAGGTAATGCAGGATTTATATCATCAACAGTAGTGCTTACGTTGAAGATTATGGGTCTTGTCGAGAGAACTGGTTCGCCTCTAGAGTCTAGAGTCTGTAGCGCCCGGCCAAAATCAGATGTCCACAGCCTAGTCTAGTCAGATTGTTTATGCCCTAGATAATGAACCCTAAACCCTAAACCCTAAACCCTAAACCCTAAACCGTAATGCATCCTTGAAGAGGCGTTGCTGACCGGCCGGATACATGTTGAGGTCGTCAGTATTCCTAAAAGACCCTTAAGCTCAAGCCCACTCCCTAAACCTCGAACCCTGAAGCACTAAACCCTCATTAGTTTTAAACAAGAGCCAAAACATGCTAAAACTTTGAACAGCTAGCAAGCACACTCTCAATGAGCTCTTCAATCCAAGCTCTCCGTAAGCTCCCCACCCGACATCCTGCACCCACTAGGGTTTAGGGGCTCAGGGTCTAGGGCTACAGCAGGTTTGCGAAAGTTGAACGCTGACCGAAAGCAGGAAGCCTTCGTCCAAATAGCAGGGCTTTCATGAATGGCATCGGGTGTTGGGGTATGTTGTACTGTAAGTATACCAAGGTACCGTAAGGAACCCTAGTTCAACTATTGGGGATCCTAGCTTAAGCATATATATATATATATATGCATGGACGATGCAATGCCAAGCGTTCATGCAAGTTCCTGGCATAATGTCTCCATGTCCGTAAAACCTAAGCCCTAAACCCCTTAGCCCTAAACCCTAAACCAGTTAAGCCTTAGCCTAGCGAGGCTTAGGTCAAACTCCATAGATCGGTGTTTTCGTGTTTTCTGGACAAATGTTAGTGTCCCCTAAGCCGGCTAAGCCCGCCCTCAATCCTAGACCATCCCGCATGAACTTCGATCCGAAACCCTAAGCCCGAAACCTTAAAGGCCTTAAGCGTCTTTAATCCGATCCGAAATAGGGAGCCGGCTTGCTTCGAGGCTCACCGAGGGTAGAGTCGTGAGCGACTGTAGTAGTCCTAGGTAGTAGAAGGGGGACCCCTTAAAGGGGA